GTATTTTTTTAACCTGAGAGCCGGTTGGAGATTTAAATAATTGGATAATTAAATAATAATTTAAGTCGCGATTTTCCTCGTACACACGATATAACTTCACTTGTGCAAACATCTCGTCGCAAATGTAATCGAAACATACATGAATATCAGTGTCAGCTTCTATATCTTGTATGTCCATCCCTTGCATCAAGCCCATTGTTCAACCATGCTTTGCCGCATCAGCCGTCTTTGTGAAACCGTCCCTTCACAGCGAGGTCTCCAAGTACACACACTGGTGACACGAGATGAGTCGTCCTATTCCTAAAAACAACAACAATCGAGTTAAGTGTTTGACAGACGGTCATGCATATGAAGTGTTGAGGAAACATTTAGATGTTTCTCTTTCACCTTTTTTTTACATATTGAACAGGGAAGTGAGACACATAATGTTGTTGCTTGTGTTGTGACGTGTTTTATATTATTAAAAACTAAAAGTAGATCCGATTTTAACTCATACAATAAAATGATGATATCGACATATTTTGCCCTTGGAATGACAATGTCTTTTCAAGTGATATTTTATTTACGCTGTTTGTCATGCTCATGCAAACCACGGAAGAAAAACACAAACAAAGGCTTCAAACAAGTACCATATTAAAAGAAAACGGATTCCAATTATCTTACAGATAAAGAAAATGGTTCACTAAGCATGTATGCTAGATTGGATTCTACAGTCGGTTAGGTGCAAGTGATCACTACGATGGGATACGCTTTCAAACATACATAGAGGAACCAGTTCCAGAACAAGTTAATCTATATAAATGAAATTCTCTTTCTCCTGCTTTCCTCCAACATCAAGCATATCACTCTGAACAAACATTTTGAAGAAATCAAGTCAGCGAGCCTGACCACCCGATCCCGTAAGTCGCCTCTTACGACAAGGATGGGTTACTGAAGATCAATATTCTAACCCGGATCTTCACGGGTCGCGGAAATGGGAACCATGGCGACATCACCTGGTACGTCTTCATGTACAACCAGGAAACTACTACAGCAATACCCGCCCTGTATAATGAAAGGCGAAACCAGTGTTATTACCCATACGGGTTAGGAGATCCCGTGTAATATCTTTTCGATATTTGCACAGTGTGCAATTGAGTGATTCTCGACGTTGATTGGTTGATCGTATATTTGTACATTTTCATTGGACGCCGGAACTACTTTCACAATCTACGCTCATTCATAAAATTTCATCGATTCATAAAAACAGAACAAAAACAACAAACAGGATTTCGATTTCGATGCTAATTTAATGTTTTATTTCAAACTTCATTCACAATATAGCATAGTCTACTAAACATGTTTTGTAATAAAACAAAATGTCTAAAGCTGATAACATCGTCTTATGTAAACAAACATGGCTACCCAGTTAACGCCAATCAAAGTCAATGACCTGGTCAAGGTGGACGGAGACATTACTGGTCGTGTAACAAGAATAACACAATCCTTAAATTCCTCTCACGTGTATATGATAAACACGGAATATGGAGAAATTCTCACCAAAGTCCCCCACCTGCCTCAGAGTGTCATAAATGACTTGCTACAAGATGATTTTTTTGACCCCCCAATAGAAAACCAAACTTTTGACAGGTTTGTTCCTGGGTTTTGACCATGACATTGATAACTTCTTGGCTGCGAACGAAAACGAAAACACAATGAAAAATACAAAATTGGACATGAATCTTGTTTATAGATTTCTCCACGAGAGTCTTAATGATCCAAGACAGCTTGAAGACATTGCCCCCCTTGAACTGAACACAATCCTATGTAAATTTTTCATATCGGCAAGAAAATCTGATGGTTCGGAGTATGAACCGTCTTCCCTCGGGGGAATAAAGGGTAGCGTTGAACGCTATTTGAGCGTAAAGGGTACTCACATGTGTTAGCCGAGTCAATGCATTTCATGTTCAAAACTGAGGGAGATATTGAAATCAAAACTCAAGTCATTAAAAAACAAGGTAAAGGAAACCTACCATTCCGTGCTGATCCTGTATCCGACACTGAATTACAGAAACTCCGTGAATGTGGCCAACTTGGCACTAGCACGCCAGATTCCATTTTAAACACATTGTGGTGGAACAACACGGTTTATTTTGGCTTGAGATCGGCGACCCCGCTTAGGCGTATGCAATGGGGTAATTTATCACTAAAAGTTGATTCAGAGAACCGAGAATATATCCAGAATATTGAACGGCAGTCAAAAACCCGCCAGGGTGACCAGTCTCGCGATCTTGCTCCTAAAGCATGGGCACAACCTGGGGATCCGCGTTGTCCAGTCGCTGTTTACAAGTCGTACTGTGACTTGAGACAACTAAACTTCTCGAACGATGATCATCCATTCCATTTGGCAACAAATACCCAGTTTGGGGTACGAACCGGGAATACTTGGTTTAAACGTCAACCAGTTGGTAGAAATAAACTGGGATCACTGATGAAAACAATGGCAACTAAAGCAGGGCTTTCTAATGACAAACGGTTGACAAACCATAGCGCCAGGAAACGCATGATTCAAACTTTGTCTGACATAGGTGTTCCAGCTCACCAGATCATGCAAGTGTCGGGGCTCAAAAACGTTCAATCCATCAACAGTTATTCCACAATGAATGAAAAACAACACCAAAACATCAACAGACTTCTGTCTTCCAACTGTGATTCAACACCACGTGACACAGGCCTGTCTCTCCCTTGCCTACAAAATGCACCGAAGCCTCAGTCGAATCAGTCCCAATCAGTCATGTCCCAGATGAATTTAGTTTCCCATGATATCCATGCTGTTCATACTCTTTTTTTTCTAGTCCAATTTACGACGGAGTATTCAACTTCACTATTTCAAATGATTCTTCTTTCAACCAACCACCTGCACCGAAAAGGCGTATTTTGCGTGTTGTCGACTCGGACTCGGACTAAAGTTAGAGTTATCGTTCCTGACAAGGACACTGACGCGAGCCAAAACTAGGTCACAGTCAAAATGTTGACAAACGTTAATAATTGTGAACCGTCTTCTTAGAAAAAAGTTCACCATTCCTGCGTTTTATTGTTCTCTTGCAGATTTTCAATGTTGTACCAGTTAACGTTAATTAAAAAAATTTGACAGGTTTTTGCTGTTTTGTATCCATCCACAGTCACCCACTTTCTGACACGAATAGATCTAGGTTACACATTTGCGATCTACGACTAAATAATAAATATGCGATTGTACTCGTTAAAAATAAACTTAATCTTTACAAGGGGGTTTAGGTAATAAAATCGTCATGAAACAAATTTGTAAACTGATGAATTGTGTTGTTTTTCATACCGTTTTCTACAGTACTATATTGGGGTTCGTATGCAATTCCATTAGGCGTGAGCCGTTTGGTTTCCTCTGCGCATTAAGACGGATCAGCTGATTACGTTGTAAAAACATAAGAAGGTGCGGCTTTGAGTTCATAAGTACTGGTTTCTCGGTTTAATTACAGAATGGGTAATAAAAAGAATAACCCACGAGGTACGAGTGATTACGGGATATATGTCCATCGTAAAATTAATGTTCACTGTCTCGAGCTTTAGCGAGGGACTTTAACATTAATTTTAATTACTGGTAATTAAATGGAATGATGTCCTTTACAAAGGTACAGAAGAATAAACAATTCACACTGCTGTTTTTAATATACCAGTATTTCTACCGTATTCGTTTGCTACCAAAGCCGTTACGTGTTAAACATTTTTTTCAAATCTGTAGGCACTAATATCCTTGAAGGAGCATCATACCTTCTAATATTCTTGCTGGGATAATTACAGGACATTCATACTGATTTATTCAAAATACATCTCAAACAGGTTTCCGTGATTAAATGCGTATTGATGAAAGCACATGGTCTTTGCTGCCAGAGGATCGGTGAATTCACTCCGTGGGTAAAGACCGGGCTGGATTTCCATCATGGATATATTCTGTGAAACCGATGTCTGACGAAATGTTAAAAAATGGCGAAACCATTGGTTAAACTCACTCATTCACTGTTTACTGCAGTGAAGCAATACATAGCTGTACAAAATTTAAATCATAATAATAGCCATAAAACAATATAAAGTATGGTTGTCACACAAAATGTTTTGTGTCTCGATTTGAAAATATCAAGTGACGGGGTGATTTTGAGGGCAGTTTTTGAGCAGCAGTTGCTTTCATATTCCGGGGACCAACGGTTACATGTTTCCATGTGGGAATGACAAACTAAAGTTGGTCACTTGACCGCAAGTTCCTAGGTGGATGGACAAACCCATTGGATGCGAGTGAGTGAGGTTTTGGTTTTACGACCCTTTTAGCAATAATCCAGCAATATCACGGTGGCGGACACAAGAAATGGGCTTCACACATGTACTCATGCAGGGAATCGAACCCGTGTTTTTGCCGTGACGAGCGAACGCTTTTACCACAAGGCTACCTCGCCGCCCCATCAACGTCCTTGAGATGAGTGGCGGTGGGGTAGCCTGGTGGTTAAAGCGTCCGCTGGTCAGGTTGAAGACCCGGGTTCGATTCCCCACGTAGACACAATGTGTGAAGCCCATTGCTGGAGTGATATTGCTGGAATGTTGCTAAAAGAGGCGTTAAACATACTCACTCACTCACTCTTTGAGATGATGTGGAGCTGATCCATGTACACATTTGTACGTAAGGCTTAGCAACTTGAGGTCCATTCTGTTTGCACCAGGCATGATGGTAACACTGAGTATTATCACCCATGACTTTATTGCAACCGTTGCTTCGGTGATTATGATCTTCTGAACAATGTAAAAATTATCCATAGATATCCCTGGACTGGAACAAACAGACAATTGCTACGCGGCAATTGTCGTAAGAGGAGACGAACGGGATTGGGTGGTCAGGCTCGCTGACTTGGTTGACACATGTCATCGGTTCCCAATTTCTCAGATCGATGCTCATGCTGTTGACCACTGGATTGTCTAGTCCAGACTCGATTATTTACAGACCGCCGCTATATAGCTGGAATATTGCTGAGTGCGGCGTAAACGTAAACTCACTCACTCACTCACACGCCAATGGCACCTAAAGCAAACGTAAAGTGCGTGTTTTGTTCCAGGTCATCTTCCGCTACCTCCGGGAGTTCTGGCAAGACACTTTCGATGATAGCTACAGTTCTCTTCCGTCTGCAAAAGGACAGAAAACAATCTATCAATCATCTTTTGTGACTTAAAAGAGAGAAAGTTATATGATGGCGATTGTATTTTTGTTTATGTATACATTTGAGAGCAAGACTTCAGTACCTCATGATGCATCTGATAGTCAAGCAGGCCAATACTAAAACAGCAAACAGGTCAAAGCCGCATATCAGCCAAACCGTCCAGGGTCGTCCTGTGAAAAAGAAGTTGTGATTAAACCAACATATTATGACAATCGCAGCATAGAACTTGCATTGAATGGATTACGATTTTCTAAAGAATTATCAAATAAATACTATAAATACACGTATACATGTATACATATAGATGTTGAAATGAGATCTTTGAAATAAAGTCCTTATAATTGAATATTTACCGGCAGGGTCATCATTAAAATCCAGTTCCGCACAAGTGCTAAAGTTCAGAAATGGAGTACACAATTGCTGTACACATTCGAAGCTACAGGAGCTAACATTCGGGGTTTCCTTAATGATTTCAATACAGTCTGAAGTTGTCTCAGGTTTGCGTGCGAAGCATCCTTGATGTTCTCTGCAAACATTCTGTTTGATCACTTTACACTGGATTTCAGTTATGCTGGACTCAGGGCAACAGTTAGGTTTGGTCACCTCTGTACAGTTTTCTCCGTAACCAGATGCACATTGAGTACACGCTGAAGTGAACTGATCACACGTTTTGCATTGTGGTGGACAGAACTCCTGACATGATATCCCCGTTCGTCCATTCTCACACCCGGCTGAGCATTTCAGTTTTCCGTTCTCGTATTCACATCTTCCATGTAGGCAGTTTTCATTGCAAACTGAATCACATCTGTCTACGGAAATGGACTTCCCACACTGTATGGGGCAACTGAAACACTTGTTCACCTTGGGGTTGCAGACCTCTGAACATGGCAGACAGCGCACATTTGTATCACTCACCGAACAAAGGCCTAAACCTTAAATGAGAAAACAATGAGAAGCTTTAACTATTCAAACAAAAATGCACCTGAAGGAGCTTGGTACTTGTTACCACACAGTACGCAACTACCAATGCAAGTATCGCAAAGTGATTTGTGAATATGAAACTACCGTTGCGTGAGGTTTTTCCTATGTCACTCATAAGAAACGTATGTAAACATGCGCTATTTTATAGCAAAATTGACAATATGTTTTGAAAGAATAACTTACGCTCAGTAAAATAATGACATCTGTTTCATGTAACTGATTTCATGTGACAATACACATATTTCACCTTTTGCATGTATCTTTTATTGAGATTAAGGCTTATCATGATGAACATAATATAATAATAATTGGAATGTTTACTTGTATATGTTTACAAATGATAACATTTACAATAATATACAATATGGCTTGTTGGTAAAATATTGTTGGGTGATCCAATTTGACAAGATCATCAGAAACTGTTTAGTGTGTAAGATCAAGAAGACTCGGTCACTTTGTTTCTTTAACTACCAGTGAAGATCCAGGTTAGAATTGATCTTCAATAACCCATGCGTTTCGTAAGAGGCGACTAACGGGATCCCGTGGTCAGGCTCATTGACTTGGATGACACATGTCATCGTATCCCAGTTGCGTAGATCGATGCTCATGATGATGATCACTGGATTGTCTGGTCCAGACTCGATTATTTACCGACCGCCGCCATATAGCTGTGATATTGCTGAGTGCGGCGTAAAACTAAACTCATTCACTCATTCATTTCTTTAATAATCAAATGGTATTAATGAATTCACGGAGATGATTACCTTTACGAGTGCAGGTCTCGTGTCCATCTCTGCAAGAGGTACACACTGACGTGTGTTGGTCACAGGTTGCACAGTCGTGTGGACAAAACTCTTGGCAGTAAGAACCTGTTCGTCCTTCTTGACACCCGTCAGAACATTTCAGATTTGCATTTACGTATTCACACGTGTTGTCAAGACACTGCTCGCTACAGACTGACGTGCATGCGTCCTTATTTACAGTACTGTCACATTGTTTGGGGCACTTGAAGCAGCTGTTGCTTTGCGGGTCACATATGTCTGTACACGGATAGCAGTGGACATTTGTATCACTTACCGAGCAGCGTGGTGTTCCTGTAGTGAAAGAAATAGGATATTACTTACACTTCATACCAACAGGGGGCGGTGGGGTAGTCTAGTGGTTAAAGCGTTGGCTCGTCACGCCGAAGACCCGGGTTCGAATCCCCACATGGGTACAATGAGTGAAGCCCATTTCTGGTGTCCCCCGCCGTGATATTGCTGGAATATTGCTAAAAGCGGCGTAAAACCAAACTCAGTCAGTCAGTCAGTCATACGAACAGACACTCTAATTGGGGTTTTCAACTGGTTCCGTGAATTGCCGCAAAACCATAATTTCTTGATTCTTACATTAAGTTACATGCGTAGCATGCGGATATTGCTGTCGCCTTTCATTGATGTACTCAACGTGACAGGAAGGAGTTGGTCTTATCTGCTGTCAATTCAAACACAATATGTGAAGAAATAGTTGAAAGAACGACATGGCGCATGTTTGATAAATGTTGGCTGATAGAACTCACTGATAAGCCAGTGCATGTTTCATTCTTTATACTAATTTTCTGGTCTGGAGCTGTGTCATTTAATGTATGCAGTTTAATTTCCGCATAGATTCTTTACCAGGTATATCGAGTAAAATAAGTATGGATATGCCTGTGTGAGTCGATGGATTTGATAGAATGTACATGAACAGAACTGTCTCGGACGTGTATCGCTGGGCAAATAGGTTGCCTCTAATACGGCTTCGACCATTCTGATCCGTGAAGGTCCGGGTTAGAATTGATCTTCAGTAACCCATGCTTGTCGTAAGAGGCGAGTAACGAGATCCGTTGGTTGTACAAACTGACCTGGTTGACACATGTTACTGTATCCCAAATGAGTATATCGATGCTTAATATGATGTTGTTCACTGGGTTGTCTGGTCCAGACTCAAATATTTACTTACCGCAGCAATACGGCTGGAATATTGCTGAATGCGGCGTTATACAACAAACAAACAGTTAATCATTCACTCATTTATGCCTCTCCACATAGGCCTTGTGACTGAATGCCTGATCAGTGAACGAAAGGTCGGGGCTCGATCCCAGGCCACACTATATGAACTGTTAATTTGTGTTACTCTGCCTTGCATTCGGCACTGAGGGGTTAAAACAAAGTGAAAGGATGCTGCACAAACAGACAAATTATGGGAAATATGTCCCATATTTCTAAGTAAATGTGCCGAGTGAGGATTTTGAACTCATTCATTTTTTATTTACCTCTTCAAAAGATCCTGCTAAATGACGTGTTACATAGGACTTCATTGCGCACTGTCAACAACAGACCCGTGGAGGTACGGGCTAGAATTGCTCTTCAGTACCCCTTGCTTGTCGTAAGAGGTGACTAACGGTATTGGGTGGTCAGGCTCGCTAACTAGGTTGGCACATGCCATCGGTTCCCAATTGCGCAGATCGACGCTCATGCTGTTGATCCCTGGATTGTCTGGTCCAGACTCGATTATTTACAGACCGCCGCCATATAGCTGGAATATTGCTGAGTGCGGCTTAAAACTAAACTCACTCACTCACTCACTGTCACCAACAACTACATTAACCTTAAACTGTGCTATTTCTTTAGTAAAAATAGTAATTGATTTAGATTTATTCCCATTCGTCTGCTGTTTGGCACTCAGTTATGTATGCTAGCAGTGCGACAGCAGACAGTAACTATGCAATAATCCAGTGATCGATATTGTGAGCTACATTCCAATGCTTCACGGTACATGACCAGACCACCCAAGTGTCACCCTACCACCCACCACCAGATCATAGCGGTCGCCCCTTCCACCCAACAGCAAAGGGTGCTAAAACAAAATTCTAAGCCGGAATACCAACGGGGACTTTCCAGTGGTAGATGGAGCAGCATTTGAAACGAAATGGGAACTTCTGCATATTTCGACCGTTATCTTATCAAGGGAACTAACTCTTCCAGTCTTGTTAGTACCAGCAATGGCCAATGACGAAACATTTAAAATCATAACGTTCACCATGTTTACCTAAACGCTTCCTGTATTTGAACACGTTAGGCAGCTTAAACAAGAATAGACTGGAGCAACCAGGAAGTGATATTGTATCCTACAACCAGGAAGTGATATTGTGGAGAAGTTTACAGTATTTGTTCATGGTACTCAGAACAATAAGTTAAGCGCCACCGGATTAAAAAAGGAAGTTCTTCGATTATATGAAACTCAGATTGATTTCTAGATACCTGAGATGCAAAAAAATGACACATCTTTGACAACGATTTGGTTACTCAACAAAATTGACAACATCAATTGGATGATAGCATTTATATGGACTTTGTAACCACAAATGAAAAAAATGTGTTTTGTATAAATGTTTCAGTGTGAAACACTAGTCCCATCGGTTACATCCAGGTCATTATTTTAAACTTTCCACACTTGAGAAGATTTTTAACCATTCTACAGTCAATAGTGTGTGTAGGATCCGTGAGAATTAATGACTACATTAACCCTTCTCCGGTAGGTAGTCCAGTGGTCTCACAGTACCGTAGCACTTGTAAAAGGGAGTCGTCTAACGAGTCGAAGTAATGCTCTGTCCTCTCGTACAGATGTCGCTCTTGGTCGTCCTGATCTTTAACTTTATTGGGTTGGGCGTGGTTCTGGGCCAAACGGGTGATAACACTGTGAAGATACTGTCTGGCAATAGCTCTGCAAGACATTCCGTCATCTCGCATTCCAATAATCCGCCATCTATCACCAGTAGACAATCTGTGCCTTGTCAGAGCCGAATATCAAGGCAAAATCTAATGGTCTGTTTGAGATATCAGTCGTCAATGAAGTCGTCACAAAAGTTGGTGCCTCAAAATGCACGACCTCACATTTACTTGTCGTTGCATGAGGCATGCAGGAAATTCACGTGCGTGTAGAATCGTTTCAATCAATGTATGGAAACCTGTTTATGCCTTCAAAGCAAGAAAATCTACCAAACTATAGTTAGTGGCGCTTAACTTTTTATTCGAAGTACAATATGTCATTGAAATGGTAGGCCGCATATATTTCGTTTAAAACTGAATATACCATACTGAAAATACTACATTCCCGTCACAATTCATTCCCTGAAGCTTACATGAGGTATTCCATCAAGGGGCTGAAGCCTTTCAAAACCGGAGAACTTATGGCTCACTTAGTATAACTTTACTAGTTCAGCTGCACCAAAACAGGTATTTTGGGCGATCTTCCGGTTTATCACCTTGCATTCATAAACACATTGTTTCATATATTCGTAAACTTTAATTTTCACCACAAGTTTGTCTTTTGCGCCAAGTGGAGTCTCTGTCGTGTTATGATCATGACTAGTTGTTCTCCAAATTTACACACTCCTCTATTAACACGACAATCCATATTTCCCAGATGCCGTATAATAAAACTAAAGGCACTTCATAGTCTCAAGAGGTAACTAGTGAAGACTCTAAGGAAGTTCAGCTTTCTACAACTTTGCCGTCAGTCCCCAAATGTATACTGAATTGTAACAATACAAATGAACACTGCTGAAAGCATTGTGGTAACTGTGGACGTGGGCAAAGATCCGCGCCTTCAGATTCTTTAACATGAGTTTATTATGTATATGTTACTTTAAACGTTATTCTGATAGCATCAAATCTTGATTCAGGAAATTTCGATTTGGTTAATTCTTCCTAACAGTAATCAGATGTACCGCAAACATGTGTAGAACCCATCACCTACAACCTTATACTTACTAGCGGATGCATCCCAGAACAACTCATCTATCCCAACACAAGAGTAAAACAAGAGAGACCCGACTGGTAAAATAGCTCGCTTGTACCATTCATATCTAGTATCAGTCACAGTTATATATATATATATATATACACACACACACACACACACACACACACACACACAAAAACAAAAGAAAGAAATGAACACTGCTGAACACTGCTGAAAGTTCATATATATATATATATATGTATATATATGTATGTGTGTGTATATATATATATATATATATATATACATATAATCAGCATCCCATAAACGGGTTGCTGGAATTAATTTATTCACTTTAACCTATACAATTTAACACATTTAATGTTTTCAAATGTGAAAAATAAATAGGAAACATGCACACCACCATTTAATGTATTTCTCAAGTTGCACATATATGTTCTAAATCAGAATTCAAAATTATCGGGGCTCACACTCTTTGTCAGCAGGTGGATGAATGGTTAAATCATCCGCTCGACACGCCGAAGACCTGGGTTCGATTCCTCACATGGGTACAACGTGTAAAGCCCATTTCTGGTGTCCCCCCGCTGTGAAAATGCTGGAATATTGCTAGAACCGGCGCAAAACCATACTCACTCACTCACTCCTTCATGGACCCTCAATCCGATTTCCATAACTGACAAGAAAAAAAACCATTTTTACCAACTGTCATACACTATCGGTCTTTTCAGTGATTATCTTAAACTGTGCCAGTTTATAGTTTGTTTCCGTGTAAGCAGACACAAATAGAACAATGTCAGCCAAGCCACTTCCATTTATTCTGTGTTTCATTTGTATATACGCAATAACTGCCAGTAATAATTCACAACAGGCACTGTAATGAACGTAGCTAACAGATAATCCCCATTGTATACAAAAAGCATACACTAAATGCCGTCATAACTCACAGACACCGAGACCTTGATCAGCACAAAAACGGTTTTGCTAGTTTATTTTTCGTTTATCTGATTCTTAAATTACCACATTTATCATCTTACGGTTATTATGTTTATTCACAAAGATTTAAATCTGAATAGTTGCATACTATAGCATATGAAATGTGTTGAATCCGTTATCATTGTGTGCGACTACTTCCGACACGTGCGTGACTTGAAAACACGAATATTAACATAAGGAGGAGGAAAGATTAGATTAGGTTTTTTTTCGCGATATGTTTTGGTTATTGTATGGTTGTAGCGAGACATATTCCGGTTTTGCATTCAATTTCCTAATGAACAGATGGTAGCTTATGAAGGCAAACAAAAAGCCCCAGGTGACACTCACACACGCCCGCCCGCCCGCACGCACTCACGCACTCGGAATTATGTCCACACCTTGGGGTCAGCTTCTAACCAGATGTGAAGGAGGGTACTGATTTACATTATTTATCTTCCTAGTTTCCTAAAGTGTTATAATATGTACGTGTACATATCCATATAACATACCCACTCTCACCCGGATCAACATATCCATATAACATAC